TTCAGACATTTACCACCATAGGTATAATTTGGTTTTAAAAAAATATTTTTTTTCCCCAAGGGTGGTACAGCTCATATAGTTTTTAGTTTGTATTTCTTTTTTTAAAAAAAGATTGATTTATTTATGCACACAAGAACTGGGGTACAGGCTAGAGGCATGGGGGGTGAGAGGGCCCACCAGAGATAGAATCGGATGCAGAACAGGCAGATGCACTGAAATACACTACTGAGGGAAGCAGTGGGCAGGTCAGGAGAAGTCTGCCATGCCATGTGGGTCAGCTCCCTGGCCTTGGATTGAACTCCAGCTGCAGTGGCTGTGGATAGCTTCATGGTGCCTTGCTTTTAACCTTTTGTGCCACCAGGGAGGGCCCTTTAATTTGTATTTCTATAACCTGTATTTTTGTATTATTGTGAGAGATTTAGCATCTTTTCTGGTTTCCTCCCCTTTGTTCTATTGTCATTGTTTTGATACACTAAAACATGAGATCATTTGTGTAAACATGAGTACTACTTGCCTTTTAATTCTTAAATTCCTCATGGCTTAAAAACAAATCAACCTAACTTGACCATTTCTGTGGCCCTAAACCTGTTGATGTAAATTAGATGGACAAATTCACTTTTGTAGGGGCCTAAGACCCAGGTGGTTTAAAAATAGCTTTGCTAGGCCCTCCCTGGTGGCGCAGCGGGTTAAAGCATTGCACTAAGAAACTAAAGCCGCTTCCGCATGAGTTCGATTCCCGCCTGCCCCGGAGGTGACCACATGGCGCGGCAGACCTCTCCTGACCTGCCCGCTGCTCCCCTCAGCATTGTACTTCATCGATCTGCCTGTTCTGCTCCCCACTCTGTCTCTGGTGAAGCCTCTCACTGTCCCTGCACCTCTGGCCTGTACCCCAGTTCTGTATAAACAAATAAATAAATCTTTTTAAAAAAAATAGCTTTGTTAGTAAATGAAAAGAAAGACCCTGTGGTAGTTTGCAACAGAGAAGGAAGGTGGTGGTGTGGATGGAATGCTGGAAAGAAAGCAGCTGGAAGGAGCAGGTGAAGGAGGTGAAGCTGAAAGCAAGCTGGCAGGCAGGGCTGTGTCCTGCAGTGAGAGAGCCCCTCCCAGGTCAACGTGGTAAGTTCCTGCTGGGGACCAAGAAATCAACTGTCATTGAGTCAGAGTAGCCCTGCCAACAACAGGAAGTTCTCTCAAAAGGCAACCAAGAAAGGCGGATTGCCAACTTCTTCCAAGGATGTTTGGAAAGTTTTTGTCTTCCTTACACTTTTGATAGCCTTGATAAAATTACTTAAAAATGAGTCTGATAGGAAAGGCAGCCTAGCAGAAAACAAATTGTTTAAATGTATTTGTTAAGGGGGATTTAGGCCTAGATAGAAAGTGGATGTTTATTTTGGCATAATTGATTACAACATCTTAACAAGGGGGGATTTTTATGAAAATTTTTTTGTGGTGAGATGTCTTTAACATTCCTTTTCATGACTTGAACGTGTCTTGTTTGGAACTGTTACAGTGTAGGGATAGGGGCACCCCAGAGCCCTCAAACCTACCTGCTTTAATCCTGGGGACCGCGCTGTTACAGAACCAACAGACAACCTCAGGAGCAAAACAAGTTTGAGTTTTCTTAACAAATTTGGATTTTCTCATTATGCACACTTATGTCTTTTGTTAATAACTGTTGATCTGTGTGTGATCTGATCCTTGCAAAGGGCGAGGGTATCCTCTGTCGAACATAGGCTGGTGCCCCAAAATCTCCACCTTGCTCCCCTGAGGCTGGGGAAGAGTTGTCAGTACCACAGCTTCTGAGAGGGGGTATAAGGCCCTTGACTTCTGCACTTGGACCATATTTGGAACTGTGGGCTTCATTTTGTCATTGGCTGTTGTTGATCAGCCAGTCCTTTAGGTTCTCAGTGGTGTGTTGGCAGATTTTACTCTGCTTGATATGGCAGCCAGTGCTTTGGGGATCATTTTTGCATATAGACTTCCCTTCAGAACACATGCGCCTCTTTAGCTGGCAAGAAGAGTCTCCTATGCGAATTGAATCCTATGCCCACGAATCTTGCTCGCTCTCTTGCTCTTATTGAGGAAGGAGCCAGCTGCAATAAGGCATTTTTTTGCTATGTATTTGTATAAAATATCAGAACGCAGCTTTTTTAACATCCCCCAATGCCTCGTGATCTAGTAAGACACTTTTTTTTATTTTCTGTGCTTGTGAGACTTATTGAGGCTTGGCTATTACCTGCTGCATGGTTTTGTGTGTGTGTGTGAGATTGGAGAGTATTAAATGCGGGTAGGACTATAGATGAAAGCTGTGGGACCATCATGCTGTTTTCTCAGCCAAGCCTCGTAATGGCTTGGGACTGCAGCCGCTGTCTCACAGGCTTGACGCTCTGCTGCGAGTACAGACAGGCCCTTGTGAGTTCCTGGTGATACGCTGAGGCCACGTGACCACAGGTCCTGCCGTGTGTGAGAGTACTGACTGCTTCATTGATGTTCCAGGATGCTCTGCCCTCCTCCTTCGGAGCCTGGCGCCCATCTTGGATAGGCATGTGGATAGGCTTTCGTCTTTGCTAGGGCTTGACTTTCAGAACAGTGAGAGAGAGATTTGTTGAGGCATGGATATTATCTTGACTTGGGCTCCCTGACTGAGCCTCCTCAAGGACACTAGGGGACCCTCATTCTCCAGATGAAACCCCACTTTTCATCCCACAGGGTATTCCTTCCCTTTAGAATGCAGAAACATGTATATGTTTCCAGAGGATCATGTCCTTACAAAGGTAACAAGGAAGGAGATAACTAGGTAATTCCCTTTCTCTTCCTGGTGAGCAGTAAGTACATTCTTCATCCCTTGTATAGGGATTGGCTTTCTGCCCAGTTCCATTAACTAAACTTGACCCAGCAAGATACAGAGGAAACAGAACTGACCTCAGACCTGTGCGGGAACAAGTAAGTGAATATAGCCAGCCATTCCCGTCGCTTTATCCAAGCTCTCCTTGGAGAGGGTTGGTGGTAGCTCCTATTTCTCTGCAACCGACTGAGACCAGCTTGCAGCCTTTGTGCAGTACACTTCTGGCTTTGCTTATAAACAGCGAGCAGAGCTGTTCACTCTTAGTTGCAAAAGAAGAGAACAGAAAGCTCTAGGAGGTGTTCAGCTCTGAGTGGCATTGGTGCTGTAGAGAACGGGTGGGTTGTAGAAGTTGGGTCCTGAGTTGGCTCCTCAGCAGCAAGGCCTGTGTTTGCTCTCAGTCTGGGCTGAGGCAGGAACTGCTGGGTGGAGCCTGTGCTAGCTGCCCAGGAGGAAGGTGCGCAGGAGAGAGCAGAGGAGGGTGGTTCCTGCAGTGGGAACCGTAACAGTGGAACATCCACATGTCCCAGCCCTCCTCAGATTGCTTTAGGAGTTATAACAAAGTGCAACAGAGGTCTGGGGGATGTCATTTATCCATTTATCTGACTCCAAATATTAATTTGTGTATCTTTAAGAACTTTGACCAGTAATACTTTTAAAGAAAATAGATACAGTGTTCCTGTGTATGTTCAGTGAGAAAATACATGTGCTGTTTTTTTTTTTTTTTTAACACCCAGCCATGTACTGATTAATGCTGAACACCTTTAGCAGATACATGTGGCATGTAACTTCTTGGACCAGATTGCTTTAGGTTGAGTTGAACCTAAAATGACATTTCATCCCTGTGCCTGGGGAACTGCTTTAGTGTCCAGTAAGCACCCCACTCAGAATGCTGGTCCTGGCTCTCTACAGTCTGGCGCATTGGCTAGAGAAGGGGAGGGGGGGAGACTCTGACGTGGTACTGCCAGACCTGGTCACTGACTTCTGTCAGGGGTCTCATAGCTACAGTGCCAGGGTGAGGGTGTGCCCAAGGGGAGGCATTTAGCAAGAGTGAAGGCTGAACTTAAGCTGGGGGATTGTGGATGGGAATAGGACCCCCCCCCCCATGGAGCATCAGGCTAAAGGGCCATTTGAGTGAGTGTGGAGAGGGTGGGGGGTGGTGCGGACTTGCTCTTGATAACAAACTTAGCACTGTTTCCATGTGGCTGTTTAGATTGCATGGGGTAGAAGCTCAGTCAGGCTGACTCCTGAGGACAGAAGAACACATGTGTATGAATATGCATGGGGCTTCTGGGCAATGGAAATGCAGGAATTAGAATCTGGATAAGGTCTTCCCCAACAGGCTGGTGGGGTAGGCAACTGGGGGACCCTCTCGTGGCAGTTTTTAATATCAGCAAGGCCGTGCTCCCTGCTCCTACTTCTCTCTGTTCACTTTTCTTCCTGCTATGATGCTTCCTTACCCTCCTACATCTTTTCTCTGATTTTGACTTGTTCACCAGACTCAGCCCCGGCCCCCTAACTCATGACCTCTTGCTGTGTAGTCTTTCAAATATAACTGCTTGATTATTTTTCTTGTCTCACCATCCCAAGTTAGAACTCTTGGGAACATTCTTTGGAAGGAGCCATGGGTTGGTGTTAAGGTTGTCTCCCTTGTGTATAAAGAGCTCAAGCAGGGTTGTAAGGTTTCATGGACCCAGTGTGAGCTTGTGAGGCAGGAGAGAGTAAGCAGAGCTGGCCAGCCTTGACTAGGAGACCCCAGGGACTATGGTAAAGAGCGCTGGGTGAGGGAAGCAGATGCTGGCAGGGACTGGTTCCTTACATTGCTCTGGCTTTGTATAAACTCCATGGTACTGGGTTCCTGGCCTTAATGTAGACATTGGTTAAATGTAGAGGCTGAGAAATAAATGACCATTGATTCTGCAGGAGATAGGTGGTGCATTTCCAGACTCTCAAATATTTTTTTGGTTTTTAACCACATATAAGAGAAGAAGAGTGCTGTCTGGTTGACTTTGCTTTCGCTCACAGGGCATTACTAGGGGCACGTACTGAGCAGTAGGAAATAGACTAATTAGATTCTCACATTGCCATTCAGAAGGAGAAGCTGTGTACAGTCCTCTTGACTCTTCCCTGAAAACTGACCGGAGGTCTGTCATTGCAGGCTGGGGGTCCTCCATTGGCTTCGGCTCCAGTGTCTGCCTTCTCTCGCACTTCTGTCACGCCATCCAATCAGGACATCTGCAGGTAACATGCCGCTTCATATGCTACGATGGTTCCTGTGCTTCCTGGAAATAGGCGTTAGTGTCTGTAGGTTCTTGATCTCCCATTTGCTTGGCCAGTATAGTGTTGCTGTAAACAGTTGGCCCAGTTTTATGTGCTGTTTGCGTACCAAGTTACCACACGAGTTTCATTTCTTCACTTTGATGTCCATTCTCTCAAAATGGTTTTTACTTTCTGTGCTTTTATCCCACTGTTCTCTGCATGCAGTTCCAGTGCAGTGTTTTCTGAGTGTTGTCACCACAGTCCTGTGCAGTCTGCTGTTGTCTTGAAAGCACCTCAGTGCCAGAGTTCCCTGGCTCAAGGGCTCACTGTGACAGTAATCTGTAAAGACACGTTACAGGCACCAAAGAGAAATTCCTGTGGTTCAGAATGGGCCCAGGCCTTGAAACCTGCTAAGTATACCAAAGCCAGAAGAACACTGAAGTTTTCAAAATCCCTAAACGATGTGGGTGAGAAGGCCCTGGATACTTTGGGAAATTTCGACTATGTGGAAAGAACTTGCTCAGAAGGAAAATTGGTACTCCCTCAAGATCCATGTCTTAGAATTAACAGGTTTCACTATAAAGATAAGAGAACACTGAATTGCAAACCTTTTGGCAGTTCCAAACTCTCTTGTGTTTCATCCCTTTCTGCCAATCATTCAGCTGCCTCAGAGGTGGAAGCTGGCAAGGGGGCCCTGCGTGTCCCGCTTTTGGAAGAGAAAGTGGATGGCGAGGCCATATCCAGAAGCCAGCGACTACTTCGGTACCTGTTCTCGCTCTCACGTGGCTCAAGTGCTGGCAGCCTGCACAGGTTTCATGAGCTGGAGAGCTGTGCTGCTCACCTGCGCACAGCCGGGTCCTCCAGTGGGCTGGCAGGGAGCACAGGTTTCTGCTCTGAGGAAATGGGAGATGATGACGTCTTTGAGGACAGCATGTCTGCAAAATCGAAGAGCAAGGTCCTGCGCGCGCCCCTCTGCTCAGTGGAGAAGGACAGTGACCTGGATTGTCCTTCTCCTCTCTCTGAAAAAGGTCCCCCCATCTCTCCTGTGTCTACCTCAGGGGATGCCTGCAGGTTGGTTTTCCAAGAACCACCGTTCTGGCCATCTCTGCTCCCCTCACCTCCACAGCCTCATCTTGCTTTAATATGTGAAGTTTCAGGAAAATGAAGTAATGGGCAATTGTACACAACTGTGGGTTCATAGTTCCCTATAGGAGAATCTACTGATATCATTTAAAAACCAAATTGTATGATAATGGGCCCCAAGATATTTTTCACAGATGATAAATTGGAGGAGCTTCACATGTTAAAGGTCTAGCAGATTCTTCTCAACTAGAAATAAGTAGACTTTGCATAAAGAAATTGAAAGAAACGACCTCTCCACATTTCTAGCTTGATGGTCTAGTTTTACACTTTGCCTGTCCCTCCTGGCCTCATTTCACCCCTTGCTCTGTGTGCAGCGAGATGTGCATAGGGAGAGGCTATTCTCCAGCAGCTCCTCTGCCCCCTCTTGAACTTGGATAGAGCTACCTCTAGCCCCAGGCCCTAACTCTACTTCTTATCTTTTTCTTCTGGTCTGCAACATCCTGTCTGGCCTTCCAAATCTGTCAGAATTCTGTTTTTGTAACGACTCTTATGTTAACTTTCCTAGTTGCCCCTCTTTAGGGCCGGCTCTTACGGTTTCTGACAATTGGACCAGAAATCCCTCTCACAGAAACAAGCAGCTGAGAGCCTGACCAGGGTCAGAAACCAGCTCCTTTCAGGCCAGGTATCCATACCTGCTCCCCAGCTGCTGGAAAAGACCCCTCTGTTTCTCAAAAGTCTATTAAGTTCCTTGAGGTTAGTAACTACATCCTGCTGCATGCACACTTGGAATGGTGAATTACTTAAAAATCCCCAGCTACTACTGTGAGTGGTTGTGAGAAAGGAAATGAAATTGTAGCAGGGTCCAATGGTACTTTTAGATCTAGGATTTTAGGTACTGCGATTACTACAGGGATGTGTAGTTGTGTGTGAGGTGGGGGCTATTAGCTAAAAGGCACCTTTCATCACCTGTTTAAATCACTGGTATTTTGGGGAGGTAGAATGCTGGTTCTGTTTTACAAAGAAATTTTTCCTCTTAAGTATTTTAGCATCTTATGTTCTGGAAGATGCTTCCATGTTGCCTTAAATTGTCATTCAGTGAATTTCTTAAGTCTTACCAAAAACGACTGCTTTGTCATTTCTTATATCATTTTTTCCCCTCTGATGCCAAATGCCATCCAGACTTTCCATGTTGGTGTGCGGTAAGCTAGAAATTTTTAGTTTGTAGTCATTGTTCGCATTTGTGTTTGTATGTTTTCGTGCTTGTAGTCACTTCTGTGGTGTTTGTTTCCGAAAGTTTTCTTTGGGGGGATTGACCTTCCACTGAAGTGTCATCTTCCCTGTCATGTGGTCCTCCTTCTAACGACGGACTTTTCTTCCGCCATAGGATATGTCACTGTGAAGGGGATGACGAGAGCCCTCTGATCACCCCTTGTCACTGCACCGGGAGCCTCCACTTCGTGCACCAGGCCTGCCTGCAGCAATGGATCAAGAGCTCCGACACACGTTGCTGCGAGCTCTGCAAGTATGAGTTCATCATGGAGACCAAGCTAAAGCCTTTGAGAAAAGTACGTGTGAGGGCACCCCTGGAAGTGCTTTCAGCTTGCTGAAACGAGGGCCCTTCTGAAGAGTCAGCACCTGGGTGGCTGACCGGGCTTGCTCAGCCCACGCCTTTCGTAGTGGGGCTGATGGGTCCAGGCATGCTGTGGAGATCACTGTTGCTGGTACCACTTCCAACCCCTCTCCTCAAGAAGAAGCTCCTTCTGACCATGCAGTCATAATGCCTCCTTTTTCCTTCAGACTAAGACTGCTCACTTGTTTGTGTCAGTCATCTGGTTCTTGACCATACAGTGCTTTGTGACATGTTGGTCTGTGTTAACTTTGTATGTACTAACTGTTCATGTCTTGCCTCTGTTTAGGAGTATGTTAGAGATTAGCACTTCTCACAGCACAAAGCATAGGGTAACATAGTCAACTTATTTGTATATGCTTGTGATAAGAATTTTCTGGGTGGGAGGGTTGGGGTAAAAGGGAAAAGAAAGGAACACAGCTCCGATGTACACCACAGGCACCCTGTGGCGCTGGGACCTGCTCCCTGGAAGAGGAGCTTGGCTTGGTAGTTACCTCTTATGTAAATGTGACTGTTTGTTAAATGTGTCTTTCTCTGTGCCCAGCAAATAGATTTTTTTTTTGGACTTGTTCTTATCTCAAAACTTTTGAAGGGCAAATGTCATAATCAGAGAATACTAGCACATCAGAGAACAGCAATGCCACTTAAATGCCACATTCTGTGGTGGTGGCGTGTATAAGAATTTCAGAGAGGGAAATGCTTATCGTGCACGACAGTGCTAAGCAGCGGTAGCACCACGGGGCATCTGGGCTTTGAAGTAGTTCTTGATGAATTAGGACTTAGAGGTAGAGTTAAGTGAGGTTGTATGTGAAGAAAAGCATACACCAAGAGGGTGAGGGCTAGCATTTGAGGCTTAAGCTGAGTGTGCTCTGGGAAATAGGAGGAGAGCAAGGAGCAGGAGAACATGTTAGGAAAAAAGCAAAATGAAGATATTTTATGAAATCACAGCAGCAAGTGATCTAGATGTTAGAGAAGGCAGGTGCTAACTCCTTAAAAAATGTTCTGCCCCATAATTTATTGGTACCTACTGATGACTCAGGTGAATCTTACAGCACTTCTACTGTGTAGATGATCTATGAGACTCTTACTTTCAGCCTATCCTATGTAGAAGCATCTGGAAAGAGGCTGTGACTGGGACTGGCAGAGGATATGCAGAGTGTTTACACTTTGTTCTTTTTCTCTGTCTTTATGTGTTTTCTTCTGATTCGGAAACCAGTAAATGAAAATCTGGCTATTTGGAGTAAATTAATGAGCTCCTAAAGGAGATGGGCCTGGCAGAGACTGCTTGTACCAGGAACTCTTAGCATCGATTCCAAGCTGTTGCTGCCAAAGTAGCAGAGGACCAAAGAGTGAGCGCCTTCCGCCATCATCTTCACGATGTAGTGTGACCCATCTGCTAGTGTGTTGTGGCGTCATCAACCCTCTTTTTCCCCTCGTCCATGCCAGTCAGCAAGTCAGGGAGACTTAAAACGTGCTGCTTGGGTCTTGGGCCCACATGCTGTTTTCATCAGGATGGAAACCATAGACTTCTTTAGCAAGCCATTGAATGTCTGCTTGCAAGCATAAGCAGATGAGGGGGTTGCCCATGGTGGATCATAACTCATTTCAATTCCAGCTTCTTTTCATTGCATAGAAAGTTGGCTGTCAACAGAGTACCAGTGCCTGGTACCTGGTTGAAACCAAACGGTTTAAAAAGATTGACTTTGGGTATTGGGAAATCATCTAGTTCGGGAAAGTGGGAGGGGGAGGAAAGCTACTTGCACCATCCACAATGCTCTCTGCCCTGTGGTAGCCCTGTGCGTCTCTGAGCATGAGCCTCACGTTCAGCATGTTGTCTTTCCAGTGGGAGAAGTTGCAGATGACAGCCAGTGAGCGCAGGAAGATCATGTGCTCAGTGACGTTTCATGTCATCGCCATCACCTGTGTGGTCTGGTCCTTGTATGTGCTCATTGACCGCACGGCTGAGGAGATCAAGCAGGGGCAGGTGACAGGTATGTGCTCAGAACAAAAGGTGAGCTCAGCACAGGGGCGCGGGATATATCACTGTGAAGGTCTCAGGGTTGGGAGTGTTGTTCCAGATGGCTTTTCAGTCAGATCTCAGAACTCTGGGTTTCATTCACGAGGCACCAGGCATCCTTCTTAAATGTTTCTCTGGCTGAAGCATGGTTTTAAAAATCCAGCTAAAAGAAGTCAAAGCATGCAAAGTGAGTATCTCTGTGATTGCCTCCAGAAAAGTAAGATAAAAGGTAGTGGACACTTCCCACGCACCTTTTGTGAAATTATGTTTGATGGACTAGGAATCCATCAAATGATGTAAAAATAAACTATTATGTTATTTTTAAAAAACCCATTGGTAATAGAAGATTTAGAAAGTTTTGTTTTATTTCAGATCTTAAAAGGATCTACTGACAAGCTAACCAGGTTTATTTCCTTCCAGGAATCCTAGAGTGGCCATTTTGGACTAAATTGGTGGTTGTGGCCATTGGCTTTACTGGAGGACTTCTTTTCATGTACGTTCAGTGCAAAGTATACGTACAGTTATGGAAGAGACTGAAAGCTTATAACAGAGTAATCTATGTTCAAAACTGTCCAGAAACAAGCAAAAAGAATATTTTTGAAAAATCTGCACTAACAGAGCTCAACTTTGAAAATAAAGACGGACGTGGAATCTGTCATTCGGACACAAACTCTTCTTGTTGCACAGAACCTGAAGACACTGGAGCAGAGATTGTTCACGTCTGATTGTGTGGAGGGTGTTGCTTTCCTGGACATCCATGAACACCTGAAGGAAATTGTTTACTGCCAATTGTGTACCTTTTCTTATGTCCTTTGATTGCATCAACTGGGCAGGTGACTATTTTTAATGGCTTCTCTTTTTCTAAACCCTCCTTAGTGAATCTCTGGGAAAGCCCTCACCGGCTCTATGCATGTCTATGGGAAGGGAAGATGGACGACCCCGTGGCATCATGGTACGGAGCTGGTTGGGTTCTGGCCAATGGTCTCGAACAGAGTGAGAGAATAAGAGGCCAGACTAGCGGCTTTGAAGAACGAGAGCAGGGTGGCGCCAGCTCCTCTGTGCGCAGCCGCCTCCCGGTGGCGGCAGGGCCTCCCACAGAGCAGAGTGTTGGGGGGTGTCCAGCCACCCCCCCGACCTTGGGGGAGGTGCACACCCTCTGCTGATGCTGCCACTGACATTCTCGCAAGCAGGCAGGATGCAATGCTCTGTGTATGGTGGCGAAGTGATTCACTAAGCAAACAGCACTTTACAAAAAGAGAATTATTTTGTAATATGATTGTCCAGTGGAATTGACACGTAACAGTGTCTCATTTAGAAACCTCTTTGTTACCCTATCTCTCTTACTTTATAATAGATTTAAAAACCCTTTTTGCCTTATGTGTTCTGAGAACCATGATATCCACTCTGCTGATAAAAGAGACTTGTGACTACAAAGAAGCCTCAGAAGGTGTGAGGTTTCTTCCAGCATTTCATGTGAATTAATGGATGCTAAGTGGCCATGGGATCATAATTTCTATAGTAGAGCCCATAAAGACTCTAGGGACGCGTCTTCATGTCATAGACCTGCCCCAAATGTTTCTTTCTCATCAGCCCTGAAGAGAAAGAAGGGTTTATGAGATCTGTACAAGAGAAAAGAAAGTGAGTAATGGAATATGTGAAAACTATTCCTTTACAGAGAAACCTCTCTGGTTTGCCTTGGCTTCATGCTGAAAGAGCAAGCCTTCCCCAACCTGGGGTGCGCACATGGCCAGTGCTCATGGGTGCATGCCACCTTGGCCAGCTTTGGCTTCTGGGAGGTTCTGTGGATCATTGCCCAGGGCAGAGAGGCATGCAGGCTGGCTCTGGGCGAGGGCCAGGAGTGAGCAGCAGTCTGCCATGGTCCACTGTGTCATTGTCCTCATCCACACCCGCACCTATTACTCGCCTTAACTGGACTGAACAGAGAGGATCTTTTCGGGGCCCCTTGCCCTGCAGTCAGTCCATTCCATCATCAGGGATTATCTCCTGGATCATTTTCGTAAAGCAAACAGAACCAAAATCACTACAATCAAATGGCCTTTGTCCCTGCAAAAAGTCTGCTTAGAATTCTGTTTTTAAAAACCACTTTCATCACACCTGGCAGAGAGGCAGCGCCGGGGAAGAGGCCAGCGGGGCGGCTGCAAGCAACGTGAGTATTCTAGATGCTTACTCTCCAGGTGACCCCACATCCGCAAAGCCTTCTCGGGGGTGGGTGCAGGTGCCGGGGCGTCCTGCCCTCAGTTCTCCGAGTCTTAGATGCCTCAGCCATCCTGTTTAAGAGGGTGAAGTGAATACGAGATAATTTCTTTGCCTTTTAGAGCGGAAGCCTGTAAATTTGTTTTCAGAGTCAGGAGAAGACTTGGAGTCTCGAAAGCTCTGGGAGAGGGCCCCGAATCAGCAGGCTCTGCCCTGCCATCTCCTCGGAATCTGAGGATAGGGATGTGGGGCCAAGTCTGGAGAGCTGGGCTGCCCTTCCCTTCCTCTGGATAGACAGGTGCTGACCAGACATGAGCTAACTCCTGAAGATAGGCCAGCCTGCCCTGAGCTGTCTGCCAGACCTCCTCCAGCCCATGGCTGTGTTCACTGTGCCCCAAAGTGCAATTACCACACCCCTTCTCCACCTGGGGACACCATGCAGCTATCGCTTGTCTACTCAGGGGAGCTAAATCTTGGGTCAGCCCTGCTCCTGCCCCTTAGGAAGTGCCCGGGCAAGATCCCATGTCCCTGCTGCCCTTTGACAGTGACTGAGTGGTCAAGGTAAGACTAGGCTAGGTTTTTAAGGGGTCTCCTTCCCTGCCCCCTTCCACGGAACCCTTTATTCTGAACTTGAAAAACACACACTTCCTGTGGAGAGGAAAGTGTGCTCAGGTGGGCATAGCTCACCAGTTGTGACTGGCATCCCCTGTTGGAGGTGCCTTTATAGTAGCCACGATTGTTGGGCTGCTCCTCACACCCAGCACCCAGCTGGGTTTAGGTGCATGTTGCCTTCTCATTTCCTTTCTGAAGGCCTAGCCCTAGCGCTGTCTCACCACTTCTGGCCAAGCTCCTAAAGGCTCTTCTTCGCCTGTGGACAGGTCATCCTTTGTCCATTCCTTTTGGAGTGGCACTCAGCCCCCACCGATCTTTCTCTCACAAACTCCAGTTGAGTACCTGTGACCCCATCTTGGCCCCAGCCCCAGTCTCTACTCCCACTATAGTGCTGCCTGAGCCCTAGGGAGGTGCTGTGCTGCCACCTAGTGGGCTGGCGGAGCTGCCACTTCTTGCCTTGCTTAGCTTGTGTCACCTTGCCCGCCGGTTCTTGGAGAGTCATTCCCAGTTTCCTCTCAGTTTGTACCTGCTTTAGTGGGAGGAGGGTACTTGGCTGAACCATACAGAAATATGGGCTCAACTTGCAGGTCTCGCAACTAACGGGTTGTTACTTGTGGGCCAGCCATGGGAAGGAGGGCTGTATCCTCAGAGGTGCCAGCCAGCCATCCCCAAAAAGGTACAGTACAACTCAAGGGCTTCTGACTTCAGCTGCCAGCTGTAATTGAGTTTTTGTGCCCAAGTTTGAGAACTTTCTTGGAAGCTTTGTAAAGGGCCTCTTCTTATACCAGGCCTCTAACGTGGCTTCCTTTTGTGCTTCAGTCCACTATTTTCAACCTTCCTGGTCTAGTTTCCAAATCTGCAGAGGCACCCTACCTGGTGACAGACCTCCGGGTCCCTGGCAACGGGGGGTCAGTTCAAGAGCAGTGGGTGATGTCTACATGGGGTGGCACCCACGTGGTGGTAGGCTGGATGCAGAACTGGAGGGAAACTGGGAACAGAAGGCAAAGCAAGGTCCACTGTGGCATGGATTTGGCCTCTAGAAATACTTTCCCTTCTGGATCTGATCTGCAACATGCACCTTCCATCTCTAGCCCTCCACTGACCAAGACACAGGGAAATAAAAGGATTTGTCTTTGTTTTGGATGTTATTAAGTTGTGCAGCTCATCATCTATTTAGATGCAATGTTTATAGAAAGTTGATTGTTAATAAAAAAACAAATTTACACTGGCATGTGTGTGTGGTTTCTAAAAGGCACTTCACACTCGAAGTTTTTCTTAGAAAGTTTCTAGTTCTCTAAATGTCTAGTTTTCTATCCTTTTGTGTATGTTCACTTTCTCAGTATTACCACTTGAATAATTCTCTGTACAGAGGGGTTGTTTGTGCTATTCAAGGGGATGTCTAATTGCAGCAATAAAGCTTTTCTTTTAAGGAATTTTGCCACAAGAGTCTTTTCCTATGAGGCTGGGGACATTGGCAGTCCCTCCAGAGAGCCCAATCTCCCCAGGTTGTCTGGGCCTGACTGTCTGCAAGAAAACCATGCAACCTCTAGGGGTGTCTGTTTTCCTCCGTTTGCGCTGCAAAGGAGGTGGCTGTCTAAAACACTGAGAGTCAGTGGGGAAGGTGTGAATTCTGGAGGGTGAAGATTGATGTGTATACAGGCGTGCTTGGTTCATGTGTCCGGTTCTATGTGGACTCAGGGCCCTAGGAGAAGCCAGGGAAGCCCCACGTGCATGTGGCAACGTGACCTTCGGTGCTCATGTGGCCTTACTGTTGAGATAACTACTGACCCTCAGCCCAGCTGAGGGAGAGAAGCAGAGAGGAACAGCAAGAATGCATGTGACCGCTTTGCCTGGCTGCATCTCCGGGCTTCAGCCACGGCTTTCCTGAATAGTGGCAGTGCCATTGACCTTCCAGGCTGGAGACTACAAACTGCAACCAGGCTGTAGGTGCTGAAGGCCCAGGTCCTAGCTATCAGGGAGGCCTTGTCTGCCCAGCCCCTCCCAAGCTGCCTCTTGGAGCTGAAATGAAAGCAGTCTAGACCCCACCTGGGTGACCTCACTGTTACCCCCAACACACATGAGGTAGGGGTCTGGAAGTCCGGCGGGCCAGCGAGCCGAGCACTATCTTGGGTGCTCCACTAGGTAGAACATGACCCTTATATAAAGGAGAAGAAGACCTTATATAAGGTTCCCTGGGTTCCGTCTCCTCCAGGGTTCCAGCTGCAAAGGAGTGATAAAGAGGGAGGACAGTCCCTTCCCAGAGAGGAGGACATTTGGGACGTGTTCTGAAGAAAGAAGGGAAGCTTTTGAGCAAAGAAGACGGGAAATGCCTAGCTCACAAATGAGGCACTTTTGTCTAGATGGAACAAATGACTACAGTTTTTGAGGAGGGGGGGTGGGACCTAATCTAAAGTGACTGGAATGTTGTGTTGTACAAATTGGAAGACCTGCTTGAAATGAACTCCTTCAGGGCAACTGATTCTTGACTCATTCAACAAGTATTTATTTGGACATGTACTGTGTGCAAAAATGGGAAGAAGCACATGTAGAACAGAAAATTCCGTGTCTTCAACAGCCAATATCTCTGCTACCTGGATTTACTGTTGCTGCTTGGCATGGAAGCACTGAGCTGGGCACCGAACACGTAGCTTTATGCTTCCTGTATTTTCACACTGTGATCAAAGTGTGGGACTCACTGAAGATTTAGGAATAAGCAAGAAAATGCACTGAAACTTAGCTGTAACAGGACCTAACATGGGGCAGCCCTAGGTTTGAAGCCAAATTAGCTTGAGGTCTGAGGGCAGAATTCCCAGGAATCCTGGTGGGTTTTGGAGGAGCCAGCTGCCAGGGGGCCTGCCCACTGTTGACCATGAGCTTGTCTGCCATACAGGCAGACTGGATGGAATCTGGGTCCAAGCCAGCCTTGAGCAGCTGCAGTCCTGGGTCCAGATCCCAGGAGTGAGACTGGCTCAGATGGCCACGCTGTTGGGAATCCGGTCAGGGGACAAGTAGTAATATGGCAGTTTCTTGTTCTTGTTGCGCTCGGCGATCACACTGACGATGGTGTCAAGGTTCTTGCGGAATCTGGCCATCGCCTCCTTTACGGGCTTCTCAATGAAATGCTCTTCTGGGTACATGCCCAGGAATAGCTGAGGGCCCAGACATGAACAGACAGGTTAATCTGCAAAGAGGCTGTGCGAACTGACAGGTCTGGTCCCACCTCCCAAGACCCTCCTTGGCAGGTGCCAGAGGGAGCAGGTGCGCCTATCCCCAGCTCCACCCTCTGTTGCCTGCTGAGTGCTCTTGAGAATGCTCCCTGGCTTGCAGATAAATGGGAAGAATAACTTCCCTGCTGCACATTGGCCATGGAGTGGGCAGTGAATGGGAGGCCGGTGGCGCTCCCGGCTATGGCAGGCATGCCCACCTTCCCATTGGGGCGGCCAGCAGCAGGGCACGGGGCCAGTGCTGGCCGCCTCTCCAACCCAGGATGGCCACGGTGCTGGGGTGATATGCTCATTTGCACGGTCGCCCATGGCTGTATATTAAAACTAGACATAACGACTGTACCGAACTTTTAAGATGGAAAGTTTCACAACCAGGACTGGAAAGGGTGGGGGAAATATATACTATGGTGAGATTTTGAATTTAGTTGTGGAGCATATTTCAGTCTTAACATTCTGTGACCAAGAAACTCCTCTACTAAGAATGTGTCCCCTTGTTCTATTGAACGCGTGTGCCAAGACAGATTTATGAGGATGTTAGCAAAGACCCCGAAGCAACTTCAGTGCCCACTAAAATGTCCATGGGCTGTTGAATTGGTACATACCATGCAGCACTGAACTAATGGTGTGGGATTGTTTCCACTGCCCCAGCTGTGGCATTAAGTTAAACAATTTGTGCTTGTAGGAGAATATCTACAAGGCTGCCTAGGAAACTTAGTTGTTACCTTTGGGGAGAAACTCACAGGAAAGGGTTTTGTCATTAGCTAGGGGTGATGGGGTAGCCCTAGTGGAGAACCTTACCAGGGGAGCACCCTTCACGGCATGTGATGCTGGGTGAGTCCCCAAGGAAACCCTGCTCTCCAGTATACCTCACTGGGGACATTTCAGGGGTGTTCACACACAACCCTTGCGCTCTCATGCTCCCACCAACCCTGAGCCCTGTCCGGGCTCAGCCTGTGGTCCTCATGGGAGTCAGGTCCATTTTGAGCCCTGAGTCACAAGACCCTGAGGTTGAAGAAGGGGTTAAACCTGTCAGCCAGAAGGGGTGTGAAGTCTCCTCTCACCTCATTTTCCTGGAACTGGCTGAGCGCCCACACTGCGCCCAGATGCCAACAGGAGCGACCACGGTCTGGTAGTGTGTCCACGATCCTCTCGATGGTGACCACGCCCTTAGCTGTTGGCGGTGGGGCCCTCATGGTTGGGGGTGCGTTAGGAATCCAGGAGCACCAGTCATACTGCAGGGACATGCACCAACACGGGGGTGTCCCTACAGCCAGTCACAAGCCATGTGGCCCATGTGACCACACCTCCCAGGCCAGAGCAGGAGGGCACTGGACCAGGCCCCTTCCTGGGCTTCTGCAACTCCACCTGCCACTTTGCAGTTATGGGGAGACCAGTCACAACCCCTATGGCTGGCCTCTGATTGGCACCCTCTGCTTGGTGGGCAGAATCCATGTGCCTTGCAGAAGACTAGGAAGAGGGATGGCCCCGGCTTGTCAGTTGGGGCCAAGGTGACCCTTGATTTCCTGCTTGCCTTGCCCTTGCCCACCTGGCCGAAGTTCACTGCTGCGTGCTGGGCTGAGGCAGTGAAGATGACCACAGTCAAGTACTCCGACAGCTTCTCCCTGGTCTTGACAGACTTGGGGAAACCTGAGGTGGATCCAAGAGCTGGCTGAGTTCTGGCATCCATAGCGGGACACCACCCCCACCCCCACTATCCCTATTCCTGCCCTGCCCCTGGGCTCCCCCAACAAGTGCTGAAGGGCACCTGCAATGACAAAACCCACAAAGGGAAAAGTAGCATGGCCCTGTCCAGATGTGGGCTCTCAGAGGCTGCAGAAAGCCCCTGAGCTGTCCCCATGAGGTATCTTCATGGGCAGTGTTCCCCTGGGACTCTGGCCCCAGCAGCACACGCTGTGGTAGATGCCCCAGGACCGCACGCCCAAGGAAAGCCGGAGATGCAGGGAGGAGCAGGAGAGAGGACCAGGAGGAAGGCTGTGGGCTGGCCCTACCTGAAGCCTTCTTGCCCCGCATGCCATACACGTAAACATCCTTCACGAAATCCTGCAGCTCCTGGTCCTCCTCCACCACCTGGTCACTCTCATAGTAAATTCCTATCACCTCGGAGGTGAACCTGGCCCAGGATGAGAGAGGAGCTAGGAAGGGGTGACCCAGCAGGGCCTACTCCTTAAAGTTCACACTTAGGTCATCCCCTTCCCCAGCAACCTCTCCCCTTTCCTCCCTCACTGCCCTGAGAAGGGAGAAATCCGAGACCCGAGACCCCCTCTCCCCCCAGGACCTCTGCTCCTGCTGGCAGCAGTGACTGCAACCCCAGTATGCACTCACGTCTTGATGGCCTCCCACACCAGGAGCCCGTCGTCCCGGTAGAAGTAGTAGGGAATATCTTCTGTGCTGTCCATGCCCCGAGCCTTGATGGACTCGGGGAAGCACAGGGAGGCGTAGGTCAGGTCCTGCATGGCTTTCTGCACCATCTGCACGTGCCCACCGCCCCCTGTGGCGTTGGCCTTGAGAGGGGGTTGGGGAGAGAGTGCTGTGAGCTGAAGTTGGGGCTTACTCGCTAGCCTTCTGGCCCTAGAGCTCACCAGAAAGAAACGGAAAGGGCACAGAAGGGCAGGCCCAGAGGAAGGATTTCAACTCAGAATGAGGTTACAGGGAAGAGCCTCAGCCTGAAGAAAAGCAGAGATGGGGAGCGGTGTGAGCGCAGGGCGAGCTTCCTTCCCTAGGAGGGTAGCAGGGCTGCTGGCCGAGGTGGAGACTGGGCTCACAGGCTGCCCAGCGTCTGAGCACTAACCTCTGTGACCTGATCTTTGGGCTAAAGGAGGAGGCTGATACCAGCCCCCAGGACCCACACAGCTCCAGCTCCGTGAGAGCCGGTGGTGGGCCTAGCTGAGGGCTGGAGAGACGTCCAAGGAGGGGCGTGGGCCCCGCTTCTGCTGCTGGGATGGAGGCACACCTGCTGTCAGGCTGAGTGGTCAGGACCGGAAGCTTCCAGGATGACTTGCGGCACCCGACACGGGTCCACGCCACGTGGTCATCTGACTCCAACCACCACTGTCATGCCCTGGCACTTTCTATTTGGGAGGGAGATGACCACCGCAGGGGAACGAGGCTGCAGCTCGAGGTAGCGAGGCCCATCTCGATTACCCTGCCGCGGGGCAGGGCCCTCTGCCGAGCAGGGCTAGGAGGCGGCCAACACCACCTCCAACAGGGTGAAAGGAGCAGCAGTGCGAGCCAGGGTGCCAGTGCCCGGGGGCATCACTTGAGTCCCATTTTCAGCTGAGACTCCTTCACCCTCATGCCCAGATATGTGGGGTAAGCCTCTGCTGGCTTGAGTGGGTTCTGTCCTTTGCAACCCAGTGCTCGAGCCTTAGTGATGATCCCGCGGCTCTCCACTGGGAGGCGCTGTGCGGGTTCAGGTGTGACCAAGTGGGAAGGGCCACAATATGCCAGGTGCTTCCTGAGAGAATGTGAGGGTGATCCAGGGCCCCACTCGGGGAAGAGTGGATTGGGGCACAGAAGAAGGAAGCACAGGGTGGGAAGTGCAGCGTGTGGGAGGGAGGTTGTGTGGGTGGCGGAGTGTGAAGAAAGACATGGGTCTCCGGTGTGTTAAAGCTTGGAGCAGGTGCCAGGAGGCAGGGTCTACACTGGATGCCGGAGGAGTGGAGAGTGGAGGGGTTGGGGGAGGGGTGGAGAATGGCAGTGCTCAGAAGAGGGGGATGATGCTGCATAATGGCAGGCCCCATTTCCCACCCATGGTGCTAGAGAGGCCCCCCTCAAAGGAAATGTGAGTCTCTGGGAAGAGAGGGCGCCCTTGGCTGGGGTCCCTGCATGGACGGCAGGGAGGCGCTCACCTTGTCAAAGAGACCGTACTCGCAGATGAGCTGCTCGCGGGCCTTGGTGTTGATGGCGATGGTGAACCGCACGTGTGCCACAAGGAGCTGGGGGGCAACAGAGAAGGCCCCAGAGGAGAAGGAGGCCGGTACAAGGGCTGTGTCTCACCCGGAGCCCTAGGCCCCTCCCCACCTCCAGCTCCGTCTGCTGCAGGGGGTGATCCCAGGGCGCAGGCAGGCTGTGGCTGCAGAGTGGTGGCTGGAGGCCTGGGGTGCAGCCTTGAGGCTTAGCAACATTGGTAATGGGGAAAGACAGTAGCCAGTGCTTGTAGAGAGCTTAGCCATGTCCTGGGCACTGCTTTAAACTCACTGAATTTATTAACTATTTTTAATCCTGACAGTGGAGTCCTATAGGCAAGGGTATGATTTTCTGTTTCACAGATGAGGAGCTGAGGCATGTTGAGGTATTTTTAGCCTGCAGTCCCCCAGCAGTAGGTGCCCATAGGACCCAGGAAGACAGAAGGTCAGTAGCAGGAGCGCTGAACTCACTGGTCTCTTCAAAGTCTGTTCCCAGGCCAGACAGGGCCATATCCCTCAGGAACCAGCAAGCTCAGGGCTGCTTTCTTTCTTGGGGGAATTATAGGTCTCCTTGAGCATCACCCTACGGGTGCCTTTCTGCGGGCTACTCCCAGTTACAGCCTTGTGGAATGATCAGTGTCCCTCATTCCTTCCCACTCTCCCCTCACATCTGGATGTCCCCCACCAGGTGAGACAGTAGCTTGCTGTACCTTGAAAATGGGGTGCACAGCAGGTAGCTGGCGGTACATGGCAATGCCAAAAACTTCAGACACCAAGTGTGTGCGCAGGAGGTGGGTGATGGTCTGGTGGACGTGGAAGTCACTGGAACGCACCCAGATTTTGGCCAGGAGCCAGTCGTATTTTGCATCCGATGGGAGGAAAATGGGGTTCTCGTCTCCCGGGACTTGATTGAGCTGATATATTGGAGAAAGAAAAACACATTGCAATATTTCTCTCTAGACTATAGCGATAGAAAAGCCTGGCCTCTTAGGAAATTGTGGAAGTTTTCAAATCTTAAACAGTAATTATATCGTGAGAGGATCATGGAGGAGAGAGGCCCCCCGGGTTCATCATGCCATGTCAGCAACATCACTTACTAACTGTGGGACCCTGGACAACTTACTGAGCCTTCTGAGCTCCAGTTCCTTCCTTTGGAATGGAAAGATGCTTGCTCAACACCAGAGCATTTCACTGAGCTAAAATACCACTTTTTGTTATAGCTAAGTCCTTCTGAACAGGGGTCTGTTTCTGCAGCCCTCCCCCTCTCTGTCCTTGGGCAGTGTCTGCTTGGACATGACCTTATTGTGCTCTGTAATATCAAGAAAGATTGTTTCCCCCCCATTTTGGTTTTCCGTGAACATTTCTTTTTATATATGAGTCTTTAAATTCTTCTGTTTGTATTTTTTCCCCACCTATGTATACACTCCCACTTGCAAGAGGGAAAAACTGATCCAAATCTCAAATGGAAGTACACTAAGTGTCTGCTCTAGAAATTGACTGAATTTAGGGCAAAGTTTTTTTATTCAGCATTAAGCGTTTGTTAAAATTTCACCTCACAGCTTTTTAAATGATCTAATAGATTTTCTTTATTACAGTTTATTTTATTTATTATATTCTATGAAGAAAAGTGTTTCTATGGAATGTATTTATCAATCTCCCTCAAAGAAATCCAGAGTTTGGATTTGTGATCTTCTGGCCTTCATTTATGTGGCTCTTTATAGTTAGTGAAGTTTCCATTCCAAGAGGGAACATTCTATGACTTGCTGAAGGTTCCATGGCCTGCTGGCAAGTGGCAGAGCTGGGTTTCACCCAGCCCGACGCCAGGACGGCGTAGGGAGGGCCTGCGGGTGGCGCAGCCCGCCTGCACCCCTTGCTCTGCTGTATCCCCACCCCTTCACTTTTGCTTTACTTTCCTAGGAAGGTCCTCTCTCTGCTCGCAGCTTGGAGTTTCTCCAGGGGAGACAAGTTCCAGAGAGCTGGGAGATGGGCTGCAGGTGGGGGGTTGCCCACAGACTCTGGAGTCAGATGGTGGGACCCAGCTCAGCTACGGACTACGTGCACCTGTGCCTCAGTTTCCTTACCTGTGTAAACCGCTGCACTATGGTAGTGCCTGCCTACACTGATGGGTTATAGTGATGACCTTGTGAATAAAAGCAGGCCCTGGTCTGAAGCCTTGAAGGTCAAATGTGTCAGAATTCAGAATTTTAATATTTTCAGCAGTGTGTATATGTCATTGTAGGACAATCTCTCCCTGAGCAATATTTTATAATCAAACTGACTAGTATTTTTTGCAGCGATACATATGCATATCACATTGAATGGGACAAAATAGCTTCTCCTATTGGTTCAGAGTGAGTTTTGCTGCCAATGAATTTATTGCACATTTTTGAAAAACGTATTAGTGTTGGAATTTTTGAGGTGTCAGAATTGAGGGTAAGGTATTGTGAACTATGCAGATTAACCCCTTCGGATAATTTTGGTGACTGGTTAGGACCTGCAAAACTAGTTGCAATTAGGCTCACATCACCCAGTTCATGACTGGTTCAAAGTAATGTTAGCTGAGTGGTCTCCTTGTCCCACACCAGTCCTGTCCTGGGTGTCGGCTGTCTGTACACGGCTTCCGGTACCCAGATGCTTCGAGGAAGCAAAGGGAAGCCAGGGCGGGAGAACTAAAATAGCACCCCACCTCCTACTCCCCCAAACCACTTCCCTTTCTCCTTCTCCACCATCCTCGGTGGAAACAAGAACCCGTGGGCACTGGAAGGCAGCATAGCATCCGGGCCTGGCATGGCTCCAACCCCAACCTCCCCCTTGTCCCATGTGGCCCCAGTCTTCAGCTCATTTCACAGCATCACTTGGGCCCCCAGTTAGGATATTGGTCTGGGGCATTGTGTGTTATCCTCTGTAGAGCATGCATCCTACCGGCAACTTTTCAAGTGTGTCTTGGAGAGCGGAGCCCTCTCTGCCCTGGTAGACACTCCTCCCCACTGCTGGCAGGAAGCCCTCAGTCTGTTCTTCCTGCAGTCTAACTGGCAGGCGTTCGGCTCCCAGCACCATCCTGGGACTTGCCACCCTCCTTGGGCAGAGCCACCCAGGAAAGAAGTTGGGCTGGGCAGCCTACCTGGATGGCAATGGGCACAATCTTGTTGGCCAGATTCTTGTACAGCAAACAGATGGGCGCGGCCAGGAACTGCAGCGTGCAGGGGTCAGTTTTGTTGGCATCGATGCCATCCAGCAGCTGAAAGTCCACGATGAAAATGTTTCCTTGCTGCAGGGGGCACGAGGAAATAGGTCCAAATCAGTTTCAGCCAGAGATGACCTAAGCAGAAGTCCCAGAGGGAGGGATGGGTGGCTCTGGAGGGCAGTGGAGTGCAGAGTTTATAGATCTTCTGTCCCCCTATTCAAGGGCTGACCACATTACATTTTCACAGGTTGCAGGGGGTGGGAGTTGTTACAGTAAGGTGAAGGATTGGCACTGGCTGATACCTCCTCAGTTTTGTATGAAATCTTCTTGGCCCTTATGAAAGATGTTGAAAGAACACCCAGAGTGACAACTGAATACAAAGAAAGCAGGTGGAGTTTAGAAGAAATAGTTGACGGAAGTCAGATACCGAAGCGTGATGCTACAGGTCTCATTTGCATACAGTTCAAAAATAGGCAAACTCATGTTAGAGTCAGGGGGAGAGAGGGAAAGAGCACAGGTCTGCTGGGGTGGGAGGGGGTCTGCAAGGTAATGGTGTCCGCAGCGGTGAGTTCTGCAGAAGTGGAGTCTATCGGGTCTTGAGGGGTGCTCAGGGTGGAGGGGTGCTCTTCAGGAGGCGGGTGGGGGGCGTGGTATGTTCTGTGTGCTGAGGCCCGTGGCATGGTGGGGTGACACTGACCTGCATGACAGGTCTTCCTGACGCCTGCCCTTTGCGATAGTTCTTATACTTCAGTACAAAAACAAAGATGCCTCGAAAGCTACACTTTTCAGATTAACCTCGAGTCCTCTAACCTGTACGCAGGGAGGGCTGCTTTAGGCAACTTGGCCTGCTTAGGTAAGAATCCTGTGTAGAGGGTAAATGGTGCTTCTTCTAAAGTATTTCTTATTTCGAACAAAAATAACGGAGGCAGGGGTTGTGTTCCAGCTGGTGGGGAGCCTCCTGGCTGCAATGTGTGGACAGGTCAGCTTTGTTCCAGTGAGATGCATGTCTACAGATCTGCCTGCAGAGGGCGCCCTGAGGCCACTGAGCGCGGGCTTCACACTCCCAACTCCGGCGATCAAAGAACAAAGCGTTCAGGGCCTGGGCATCCCTCTTCTCCTTTTCAGATACAGAGGACCCACCTCTCTCCCGATCCGTGCGATGTGCCCTGAGTAGTGTGCCTGAGATACTTGGGGGTCGGGTTGACAGTGGAGGGAAGGGGGCCTGGCCCTCCAGGGTAGAGGGTGAGTGTGGGGAGGCTGGTGCCAGGACAACGCATGACATGGCCCCTTATCTTGTCGAGAACGTGAAAACACACAGGTGGCCGTTTACAGGGCTGGCTGACCTTCTGTAAGGTGCCGGACAGTTGGGCTTTCAGAGCAGATGTGATCAGCTGTGATAACTGAGTAGGCAGAATGGTCACGAGTTAAACCTTTAGTGTGCCCAGGTTAGTTAGCATGGTGAATGGATTGGAGCCCTGGAACCCAGGCCTGGGAACTAAAAGGCCTTGGATTTGGGTCTGTGTCTGGGAGATTTCCCTGTGACTCTAAGTTTCATTCTTCTAGAAAACAAGGGGGCTACCTCTAGCTCTTGGTTCTGACATTCTAGGGGTGTCAGTAGACACTGGAGTTCTTGTCTGGTGTCCCTGTCCTCCCCTTTGAGCCATGGACTCTAGTCTCCTGGCAACGGTGAGTGGCTCAGGGGATCATCTCAAGGTGGGCACAGGATGCTTACTGCAGGGACATTCTGCCAGTGGGGGCTGTTCACAGGTGGGTGAAAGATAAGTCTGAGATTGTTGCTGATCATCTTGACCCCCATTTAAGGAGATTATCCTAAGAAAAAGTTCAACAGAGGGAGAGAATTGAGAAATAGATCACCTGAGTCTGGACTCACCATGCCTACGTTAGCTAGCTCTGCTTCTTTTTTTCTTTTTTTAAAGATTTAATTATTTATGCATACAGAACTGGGGTACAGGCCAGAGGTGCAGAGGCAGTGAGAGGATTCACCAGAGAGAGAGAGAGAGAGAGTGGGGGCCAACTGATGAAGTACACTGCTGAGGGGAGCAGCGGGCGGGTCAGGAGAGGTCTGCCACGCCATGTGGTCTCCTCCGGGGCAGGCGGGGATTGAACTCATGCGGAAGTGGCTTTAGCTTCTTAGTGCTGTGCTTTAACCCACTGCGCCACCAGGGAGGGCCCTAGCTCTGCTTCTTAATGTTGTGAGCCAACACATTTCTGAGATTAAGTCAGCATTGGTTTTTGTGACTTGAAACCAAAAAAACAAAAAAAAAAAAACCAAAACACCCCTTATAAAGTCTAAGAACAAAACAGCATTGAAGAGTTGTAACAATGAGCCCCCAAACATGGGGATAGGATTTCACAAGTCATGTCCCCCCCAGATAATCACACAGGTATAGGGAGCTCTAAATAATTGACATTAATATTGAAAATATTGGTATTATGTTCCTAGGTCCAAGCATCACAGAGAAATGTCACCCCCAACGCCTCCTCCTATGTTGGAAAAGACAGTTTTCATCAGAGCACAGGAAAAGGAAGAGGCCACTTTACCAAGAGGAGCTAATTTCACCATCAGTCAGACAGACAAGTCTGGAGATAGTGGCCTGGGGGCTGGTGAGCCCTGGCCTGCAGGAAGTGGTTTCTGCTGGACAGAGAGTGACCCCACCATCAGAGCTAGGCCTTGGCTGCCACCCCCCGCCAACCAGGTCCTACCTCGACCTCCTGCTCCAATGTGAGCTGCCGTTCTAGGCTGCACTCCACCATCTCTGTGGTCACTGGGAGCTTCTCTGGCAGCCTCCTGCAGCGCTGGATCAGCACGGGGTTGCAGCCATTCAGGAACTGGTAGCCAAACATGAGGTCTTCCTGCCAGTGTTTCATGACTCTGTCTGCAGGAAGAAGGGAAGTTCAGTCTGAGTTCTGAGTGGGGGAAGCCCAGGCCACGGAACCCCTGACTCCGGCAAGCCCCACAGTCTCTGCTGGTCCCTTCTTCCAGGCACGCTCTGGGATGCTGGCTAACCACAGACTCCACCGGTTATGCCCAACTGCTTGTCCCCTGCTCATCCCTGGGTCAGGCCATGGCTCTGTCCATCCTTCATTTTTTATGCATACCCCTTTGTCAAGGACAAGAACAAAAACGGGATTGTTGCATCAAACCACATCAGCAAAAGATGCAGTCAGCAGAGTGAAAAGGTAACCTACGGAATGGAAGGAAATATTTGCTAAGGGATTAAATTCCAAATATATCAGGAACTCCTACAACTCAATAGCAAAAGGCTTCCTAATAATCCAATTAAAAATGGATAAAGAAGAAAAAAATATGCAAAATGATGTAAAAATAAACTTTTTAATAAAAAAAATGGATAAAGAAATCGAATAGCTGTTAGTCCAAACAAAACAGACAAATGGCCAGGAGGCATGCGAAGAGATGTTGAAAGTCATTAATCATCAGGGTGATGCAAGTAAAAAACCACCCTGAGATATCACCTCATACCTACCAGGATGGCTGTTATTAAAAAAAAAAATAAAACTAAACACATTGTTAGTGAGGGTCGGAGAAGTGGAACCTTGTACACTGTTGGTGGGCATTCACATAGACAGCCCCTATGGACAAGTGTATGGAATTTTTCCTCAAAAAATTAAACATTGATTAAAATTAAATTAAAAACTATGACCCAGCAGTCCCACTTCTGGGTATTTATTAAAAAAAAAAAAATTGGCCTCTCTAGGATCTCGAGCCAATACCTCCCCTCTCTGTTCATTTCAACATAAGTTATAAGAGCCAAGAAGTAGCAACAACCTAAATGTCCATTTACAAAAGGATAAAGAAAATGTGTTATGTTCACGATTTAGCCCGAAAAATGAAAATCTACACTATGTGACATGAATGGCCTGTGGGGGCTGTCCTGAAGAGGTGGAAGTTATGCGGGGTGTCTGAAGTGGCCAGCCCGTAGCGTGGAGCAGAATGGGATTGCTTGGGGGCAGGGAAGGCCAGCGGGGAGCTTCGAACCGATGACATCATGTTTCAGTTAACCAAGCTGAATGAAGACTGAGGTCTGCATACAGCACTGTACTTGCGGGATAAAAAGGTAACTCGGGTCCAGTGCCTAGGATGGCAACGGTGGGGCCTGGGGAGGGTCCTAGCAGAGTGGAGGGGGAAGGGAGGAGCAGACAGTTTTCCCTCTGGTGCTTATTTCCTCCCTGTGTCCTTATCTTTCTGTTGCTCTTCTGAGTTTCCTGCTGTAGGCGCTGCTGCTCCCCCCAAACACACCCTGCCCAAAGGGTCCTAGGATTGCTTTTATATTCATGCTTAAAAATCAACTTCAGTTCTGCCTTATTCTGCTTGAAAGCATCAAGATCAACTGAGGTAGATAAAACACTTTGATATTTTGGAGATTTTTGATATGAAATGAGGGTGGCGGTGGGTGTTCAACCTTGAATGTCCGAGGAGGAGAAACCTTGGGATAACGTTGGTCACCAGTGAAGCAAACTGCATGGGTGGGGGTGCCCCTTGGGTGCTGGAGCCAAGCAGTGTTGCCCTTCCAGGTCTGACAGGAAAATCATCTCCCTTCTTGCCAGCCCCATGGGGGCCCCAAGGGCTCACTCACCAGAGATAGTGTTGCTGATCTTGACGAAGATTTTCTCAAAGTCGGGGAAGTCATTCCAGGAAGACTGAAACATGTGCATGAAGCGGTTGATGAACAGGTTCTCCATCCTGCAGACCAGGGACTGCGTTACCCCGGGGTGTGCTCTGGCCTTGCCTCCCTCCTCTCAGCCCCTCCTTACCGTGGCTCCCTGCTACTCCAGCCAGCCCAGGGCAGCTCCTACAGAGCAGCTTATTGGCCTTGTGGAACTAGGACAGAAACTGGCCCCGACACTGACGTCCTCATCGCCTCTCCTGTGACAGAGGCCGCTCTGCGAGGCATCCAGGACAGTCTAGAGTGTGCCAATCCCACTCATGTGAGCTTTGTCCAGACTCTCACTCACTCACTCGCTCATTTGTTCATCAAGTTTTTGCTGCCCTGGGGCGGTGCAAGCCTCCAGGGCAGGGAGCCACTGCTCCCCTACAGCAGCTGTCTGGCCTCCTGGATTTTATTGCTCCTGGGCAATGAGCAGTTCAATAGAGGTTAACACTCAGCTACTCTGCCTAACTTGGTTAGTAGCCTAGTGCTGAGGAGGGCAGTTTTCAAATGTTCATTTCACGGAATAGCAGAATAAGCCAGCACAGGAGCTTGATAAACTCAAAATGCAGGCTGTAGGCAACAAGGAGTGAGAGCTGGCCTGGAGGCCTGGGCCATCCAGGGGCTGCTTGGAGGTGAAGAGGGGAGAGGCTTCCTGGGCCTCCCCTAAGCATGGTATAGGACAGGGGTTTCCAGTCTGGGCTGGACTCCCACAGCAGGCTACACCAGCCCTCAGTTTTCCCTGGCATGCTCACGTCAGAAGTGACAGCCACCCCACCCGCTCCCCACCGCCAGTGCCCATGCCCTCTCCTCTGCCCTCTCCTCGCTCCCACCTGCCCTCCTGCTCTATCGGGTGTTGGTCCTGACCTGGAGCTGATGTTGTGTGGTTCCCTTGGCCTGGAGTGCCCTCACCAGGCCTGTGAGGTAAGTGTACCTGGAGGGCTCCCCTGATGTACCCCGCTCCACTCCTGGACTTCAGCTCCCACTGCCTCTTCTCCCGGCCTGTGTTATGTGGCTGCCCTCTGCCTTCACCACTGGGAGAGCAACGGGGGTCTGCACCGCTCAGTGCTGAGCTTCGGGACTACAGGGCGCAGGCCGCATGGGGCTTGCCTGAGAGGTGTGGGAACATGGCTTGCGGTGTTCCTCCAGCGGGTGTCCCTCCTGCCACCCACCCCCGAGGGTGAAGGGCAGAGCTGGCCGGGCTGGCCCTGCCACAGGAAGCGGTCCTGGTGCACCTGTCCTCACCCCTGGGCAGTGGTGGGGGGCTTGGGGGCACTGTCACGGGGAGGTTTGGGGGTCAAAAAGCCTCAGAGTCAGAGGGTTGAGGTTTGGGTGTTTTGTTCAGAGCAAACCTGGCTGAAGGGGACAGAAGGCTCTGGAGGAGCCACCTGTGAGCAGAGTGAGGCCTGTCCATGTGACCAAGGGCGGGAACTCCAGGGACAAGCAACTGGGCCAGGTGCGGGAAAGGCACCCCGACGGAGCAGCCCTCACATGCCGCCTGCTTGCAGACTCCTTGCAGTCCTTTCTCACTCAGCGACTGGGTTTCTCCTCAGTTCTGGCTGCCCTGCGACCCCTAGGACCCACGGGCATCGGGGAGGTTGCTGGGGCCATGAGGCCTGTGATCTCTGTGAGGCGAATTAGCTGCCTGCAGGTTACTGAGTGGCTGGGACACTGGAAGGTCCTGGAGCACAGCCTGGGTAGTGGTGACCACATTCAGTGGGCTCTTAGCACCTCAAAGCAGGAAAACAATGCTGTGTCAGCTGCCACTCTGGCTGGTGTCTTCTCCTTTACTCCAGCCCGTTAAGGGGAAGGAGAAGTGCTTCCTGCTGCCAGGAGGGTGCTGCTTTCAGTCCTGTTACCTCCTTCCTCACTCACTGTCCACAGTCCTCTTCCTCCATCTACCATGTCTGCTGAGTGTTTCGGGACAGAATCTCCTGTTAAACTAGAGGAGTAGGCCTGTCGAGACTGGTGTCAGCTGTGTGGAAAGGACTTAATTCTGGGGGGTGGTGGGTAATGGGGTGGGAAGGAGGCCTCCCCGGGCCTCTCCAGTCCCACAGCGTTGAGGAAGGCGGAGTATTAGAGGGAGCCCAGGAAAGAGGTCCTGTGTCCGGGATGCCCCTGGTCCAGGCTGGCCTTCCTTATTGAAGGGTCTTGTGGGCCAGGGGAAGTGAGCCACATGCCCAAAGGTGGGCCACAGTTTTCCTTACTGGGTCCCTTTGACCTTAAACCCTAAGGCTGGCCTGGGAAACAGCAGCAGCTCAGATCCAGAAAGAAGTGGAGAACATTTGCACGGAGGCAAACATTTGCAGGTCATCTGGAGGCAAACTATTTCCAGGTGTTGAGAGATAGCCAAGAACAATAGGGTCTTCGAGGTCTGTTATCCCAGGAAACAGAGCTTGCAGCCCAGGAGCCCTGAAGGCTCGTGGCTTGTTCATGGTGGCACAGCCAGGTACTGGCATGACCAGGTGGAGCTGGTGCTCAACTGCGGGCACCACCTGGTTTCCTTTGTTTCTCCTGCTCCAGTCCTAACAGCATCTCCATTTTCCATCACACAGTCGGTTTAAAATGGTGTGCAAACCTCACTGAACAGGACTGGCCGAGTTTCAGGCAAGGCTTAGACCCGTCACCAGTCACCCAGAAGCGGCAAGGAAAGGAGCTCCCACAGCCGCAGCTCGGTCGGGGGCCACGCGACAGCCCAATATGTTTCAGTGTTCTGCAGGCGGGCCCTGGTTTATCTGCAGGCAGACTGGCCTGGCTGTGGCTTCAGCCACCGGGACCAGATCAGGGCCTGGCTCTGTGGCTTGTCTGTTGGGAAGTTTTGCCTCACAGGAGACTGTCAGGCAAAGCTGGCCATGGCTTCCTCAGCAGAACATTAGGGGGTTGGGCCTTTCAGGCTTAGAGCTTCCAGAGCACATGCTGGGGTCTGGACACAAGAATCCCAGATGGCACTGGGAGCTCCTGCAGGAGCCCAGGCCAAGTTGAGAGAGGGCAGCTGAGATGGGAGCTGGCCTAAAGTCCCAGCCCCCTAACACCCTAGCTGTGTGGTCTTGGCACCTCTAACTTCTCTCTGACTTCCTCATCATGACCAGTAGGCACTGTCTTTGCTCAGAGTACTGGCATGAAATATGGGAAGCACTGACAAATCAAAAGCGTTGAATACATATTCACAGCTAGCAGCCTGCTCGTCACTTACTGCTGATATTAAAGCCCATAGTCTCAAGCCACAGTGCTCTGGGAGGCCAGTGGCTAAGTTCTCAGTCCCGTTTGCTGCACTTCTGTCCTCTCTTCCCTTGGAGGCTCCTGAAAAATTCACTCGTTCCCTTTTTTTCACACTCAATTCACGGAAGAGTCTTCACTCACGACTCCTCTTTGCTTCCTCTCCTCTCTGCCCCCACAACTGTTGTCACCCTGAGCACTGATGGCTTGCAAGTGACTGCACCTCAAGGATCTTGGCCAGCCCCACACTTCCTGATCCCTCTGAAGCATCTGAAAGCCAACACCTTTCTCTTGGACACTAAAATGCTGAGCCTTGTGGTCTGTCTCTGCTTCAGCCCCCTTTTGTCACCAACTTCCATCAAGATGCAGCCATATGCGTAATTCTGTCCAGCCTCCAAAATGCAGCAGGCCGTCTGTCTGGGGCTGTCAGACATTGACACCCCTATCTGGCCCTCTGTCCGCCGCTTGCTTTCCTCTCTGGTCTCTGGAAGGCGTTGGCTCAGTGCTCAGGGAGGCTCTCAGCTTCACCTCAATGTCCCACTGTCCCCAGGCCCTTGTCATCACAGGCAGCTGTGGGCTCTTACCTCCAGCATACCCACACACTGCACTCACCTTGCCCCCATGCCTCTTCTTCCCCAGCACCCCCTCCTAACGACCACTTGCTTTCCCTACAAGTCAGAGGCATGTCAAGGATCTCCACCGGCCTCTGTACAGTATCCTGAATTCCAGCTGAGTCCCAAGTTGGTCTACATCACATCCTGCAGTCCTCTCTGCCTTCACCCCCTGTCTTCAGTCAGCCTCTTCCCCGCCTCTGAGCTCCCACATCTCACCCTCCGAGGCGGCTGAGGTCTAACATTGCCACTTCTTACTGAACGGTGCAAATCCAGACCTGTAGAGGTTTGTGTAGGTCACAGCAGCATTGCTGATGCTGCCTTCCCAGGACAACACCTGTGGGGTCCTGTGTGGCCCCAGAGAGAAGGATGCTCCTTTAAGAAGGTGGCTCCACCCCATTTCATTCAAGGAAATGTGCAGTGGTCAGGGTCCACAGGTACCCTGGTTCTTGCGTGAGGCTGGTCACCTCTCCCAGAACCCAGTCACTTTTCTGCTGTTACTCCACTGGGAAGGAGCGCTCTTTCTCAAGTTTCTTTGAAGAGGACATTCCCTTCTCAGCCCTGCTGATCTCCTGCAATGTATCCTCTTGATTCCTTTATCATAGATTAACTGTCCACACAAATGCTGATTTATTTCTGGGCTCCAATTCTATTCCATTGGTCTGTGTGTCTGTTCTAGTTCTAGTACATGTTGTTTGGATTATTATAGCTGTGTAGCATAGTTTGGAATCTGGCAGCGTGATACTGGTCAGGATTGCTTTGGCTAGCTGGGATCTTCTGTGGTTTGATAGGAAGTTCAGTAATGCTTGTTCTATTTCTTTGAAAAATGCCATTGAAATTTTAATAGGATTGTACTGAGTCTGTATATTGTTTTGGGTAAAATAACCATTTTAATAATGTTAATTTTACCAATTCGTGATCATATACTATATTTTCATTTTTTTAAGATTTTAATTTTGTATAAAATAACTGGGGTATAGGCCAGACATATGGGTGGTGAGAAGATTCACCAGAGTGGGGAGCAGAATGGGCAGATTTTACTGAAGTACACTGCTAAGGGGAGCAACAGGCAAGACAGGTTTGCTGCGCTATATGTGGGTTCATATATATATGTGAGCATATATGTGAGCTCCTGGTCGGAGCTCAAACTCAGACTGTCAGGGTGATAGAGCTGAGATGACCCCTAGGCCACCAGGGATACCCCCTAT